ACTCATAAAAAATACATTAGGGGCAATTTTATTTGTGATTTTATTCGGCAGTAAATTAAAAATAAACTTTGTTTGCAATTTAATTCATCAAACAAATAAAAAAATTAGTTTTATTTTATTGGAAAAGGTATTTTATGTTGGAATATTACGAATCTCATTGATTTGCTCGACACATCAAACGGCAAATAAAATTAACTTTTTATTTTATCGAATCAAATTACAAATAAGTTGTATTCGTTTGATTCATTATATTTAGTGCCGATTTCACAAGTAGGTTTCTAAATTCATCTGGCCTTCAGTCATATTTTTTCAGAACAAAATTTGTATTTAAAGGGCAGATAAATTTTAAAACCTACTTGAGAGAATGGCCCTTAATATTTGTTTCAACTTTCAATTCAGTAATTTATGGATTTGGGATTTGACTAATTGAAATTTACGCAACCCTGTTTGTGTGGAGAGTACTGTCTTCACTGCAGTCGGCTGCTCAGTCACCATACTTGAGGCACAAGAGCTAATGCCAGCTGCCGCCCTTTTAGCCATTTCAGGACCATCAGATCCCCAGCCGGCACAGCAGCCAATATAGGTATCGCGGCAATACTCCCTCATGCGTTATCATCTCCGAACTACAGGCAATATCACTTCTGCAGTTCAGTTGCAATGGGCAACAACGCAAGACCTCGGGGGTAGTAATTGGTGAGACGGGCGAAACTCGTCTCCGGCTGGTTCTCTGCAGAGACCATCATGGTGACGACAGCGGCTCCTAACGGCCTAACCCGGTTCAATTTATATCAAAGCCGTGGTTATTATTATTGAACTGGAATTCATCAATTTTAGCGATACTACTTGCTCCCAATTTGTCAGCATAACCCTATCAAGAAATTCAAGTTCAAATTTTTAATCCGAGTTTTTAAAATAAGATTTGGCATAGCTAACGCTATACTAAGACGGATTGACTATATGATCCCGGATCTTCACTTTGGAACGAACTTAGAAGCCCCTATAGAAGTCAAAGGCTGGTGTGAATGTCTATGCAGACGAATCGAAGGTATAGAAGAACGTAAAGACGGTAGTCATTAACGCGAAGCTCGGCCTCAACAAATCCTATAAGCTGCCAAGCTACTGCAGCATTTTCCATAAGGAGGGCGAAGCTACTAAACAGCACTGCACCAAATAAGAAGGTGAATCTCTATATATTGATTTAGACCGTCAGGCTGCGATAAAGGCGCTAATATCGCACAGCACTTCCTCTAGAAGTGTGACGGAGTGCATGGTAGCTCTGGATTTGTTAAATGAAGCTCACGAAGTTTCTCTTTTCCCTCAAGAGAGAGACATCACACGCCTTCAAACTGGCTCTGACTAATGATTACATCTGTAGAAGATGCAGAACGAAAGATGGATAGAGGTACATATCGCCTTCGAGTGTCCTGCCCTTAGCAGACTGCTGAGCGAAGGTTTTCTGTCCAATCTGGAACTAGGTGTTCCTCAATATTGCTCCAGGTAGGCAGTGCTTAGTTGACCTTCATAGCCTCTGCGAGGCCAAGCATTTGATGGCCAGCATACCAAATCTCACCTTTGGAATGCACATTTATAACCAATCAAATTTTATTACAAAGGAATGCCAGTTTGGATTTGACGGTGCAACGAATTTTCTTCCATTACAAGTATTTTCGTAAATTTTTTTATGTGGAGGAAAATGCCCAACAACGTCAAAAACTTCCAGAAATCAACGGAGTTTTTTAGAAACTTGAAACTTGCTCTTTATTATACAAAGATTCAATGGGATATAAATCTGCATATCAAAAATATATGTTGAATTTTTTTAAATTTTGCTCAAAGTTTGAAATATGGAATTAGGTTCATACTTCTTTTATACTTTTATTAATATATATGTATAATAATAATTAAAAAAAATTCAAAACCGCCCAAATGTTGAACTACTATTATTTTGAACGAAGGTGTACCTACTATTTTAAATTAGTACTGGATTTTATCTCGGTACTTACATTGTTCTCTTACTTTTGGATGTACTTAGTCCTCAAAATTGCATGTATCATTCAAAAGAGTAGTCCCCTACTCGATTTCTTTCGTCACTTGCTTATGGCACTCCCTATACTCCACTGAGTAGGGAGTATCCTGACGATATTATTTTTGCTTTGCGCTGAACACTATTTTCACACAAATTTCACTTTTCGGGCGCATAGAAATGCACACACATTCACTTGACTTGTCTATGATTCTCTGTAAGGGAGTTTACTTAATTTTTGTGTCGCCTTTTGAGAACTGCACAATTGTATATTATTTTCTTCTCTTTTTATGCGCGTGATCTTTTCACTTTCTTTCTTTTCAATAGACACCGCCTAGTTGTGGCTCAGAACGCTTTAAACCCCACTTCGAATACATAAAAACATTATACTATGTATGTAATGTAATCAGAGATTTTTTTTATAACTTTTTGCTTATCTTTATTGATTTTTACCAGCGTAGTGCAAATTCTGTCAGACTGCATACACTTACGTATTTTACATCCTGACTTTCAGAGCTCATGAAGCGAAAATCACAACAAAAGCCACCCTCCCTTGCTTCTGTGTGTATGCGTTGTATGAGGTGTTGTATCCCTTGGATACCGAAAAGCAAGCTAACCGCAAAACACTGAATACGTACCCCTATTGAGCAATAATAACAACAAACACCTACTAGGTGCGTACTTACACCTGTTTTGTCATGAACAACAACAGTTGTGAGAATGACAAAGCAACAACTACAACAAGCGGTATCGAAAAGCAAAAAACAAGTGCACTTTGCCTATGACATCGAAATGTCATTTCAAGCAGATATCAAGCACAATCGCAAATATTCAGTGTCACCGAAGTATATTAGGTACATATGCACTTGTGTACATAAACTTTAGTACATTTTTATATATACATATGTATATATGTATGTACATATATACACTACTCAGGGACAATCATGCACAGGTACTTAAGGTCATCACTTATAACATCTGAAGGCTCTATGTAACTTGCTAACGTCACACTGACTTTCTGTTTGTTGTTATTGCAGAATTTATATTGCTATGGCTGCATCTGATAGACGATGTTCATGGCATGCGTCTGGTGTGTATTGTTGTTGCTTAGCACCCCCTAACTAGCATAAATTTGGTCACAATAAACAAGAATTTCGCATTCTATAAAATGTCTACCTTTTTATCATATACAAATTTAATTTTCCACTATGTTTTAAAGCATTTTTTCTACGCGTATGTATATATAGTTAGTGGACACAGGTGTTTTTGTTATTTTATCGTTGTAACTTTGTGTCTACATATGTACGCGCGCTTTTGCATTTCCGTTCGCTCGATAACCGTCGGACACAAAATCCATATCCGTGCACAGCGGACTGTATGCGACACACTCTATTCAATGAATGCTGGTATTTGGCAGCTCTTCGCTTTTGTTTGAGCATGTTTTTATTGCACTCCGCTCTCTTTCGTTGATAGCTATTTGAGGCACTTTGAGGGAAATTCTCGAAAATGCCAACTGGCAATGCTGTGATGTTAAACGAACGCGGAATGCAACACTGTGGGCTAGAGTTACCAGTACCTATTTTAATCCAGCACTCAATTAATGAAGAGATTTTAAAAAGTGGTCGATTCCAAAATCAATAGGGAAAACGGTTCCTAGAATATTTTATACATATATGTTATTTTATGGCCTCATAATAATTATATTCAAAAATTTTTATTGAGCTTGATGCCGTTTTTAATGAAGAACTTATTGTAGAAAAGCGACAATAATTTGAAAAAATGGTAGAAGTGATAGCTATTTCGGAAATCACCACATTTCCTACTGTAAGAATTCTGATGATTAAATTTTTTTGGAGTTTTTGCTGCATTCCAGGTTGTAAAATTACACGAATCTTAAAAAAAGTTTGTGTTGAGAAAAAGTTTCTTCTCAAATTCAGGTTTAAATTTTTCCATCATTCTTCTCTTCGAAATAATGAATTAGAGACAAAATTTTTCGGCCTCAATGAGATTGCGACGTAATGCTTTTGTTTTTACTATCAAAACAAAAATGCAGTTAACACAATGGCTGTATTATAAATACATACATACATTTTAAACCCTTTATTACAATGCTGACAATAATAATACTATGTTCACGTTGAACCATAAACTCGAGTTTCACGTTTTGAGTTTATGAACAACTGTCAAGTGTTTTCGTTGGGGTGTTTAAGAAAGTCAGAGTTTAATTTGACATTTTTTTTGTTTACTTTTTCTTATTCACATTTAGCCTGTTCCAGTGCTCCGGGGTTTAGAATATCAACCGTTTAGCAAAAAAAACAAAAAAAAACAAAAGATGTGACTCGATAGAACTTATCATGCTAATTTCAACCATACCAAGATTATTTGGCACAAATAAAAACCAAAACCAATAAAAGAGGTTGAAGTTAAACTTTTCCTTTTATATTTACAATATCTCGGAAACTATTTGACGGATCACAAAAGTATTGATGCTAATTTAAAGATAATTCAAATACCTTTTACCCGACGTTTACAGTATAACCCATTTTAATGCATATTTGAAATTTGGGGCTTAAAAATATAAAAAGTTATGAACTAGCATTTTCTCAACTTGAGAAACAGTCCTTTTTTCATACAAAGAAAAGTGCCCTTTTTGTTGAGAACGCTATGATCCTCCACTTGAGGTACTGTTGAGAAAAAACGTTGAAGTTCTCAACTTAACCTCAAGTTGAGCTCAAACCTAAATGTTTGTTGGGATGGCTCAAATAGATTAATGGATTTGAGTGAAAATTTGACTATTTTCATATATTTTCTGGAAATTTTTTTGATATTTCTATAAATTGAATTCAGAGTCGGTTTTAGTTTATACCTTGCGAGAGGTTAGAATATGTTTCGGAAAATCCTCAATCATTCACTTAAATGAGTTTTAAGTATCACTTAATGGGCCGTATGCTTAACACCTAAGCATATTCTTTTTTCTAAGCAATTGCTTAGTTTTAATGGATACGGCCCAATGTACGAATTAAACAAATAGAAAACTTTAGATGTCATTTAAGTATTTATTTATCAGGTTTTCATAAGAACTTTATTCTCGACTAATTAAACAGCTTAAAAAGTTAAAAGGGTTGTATTTTAGTACTTTGACTATATATGTATGTATATAAGCAGTAAATTAAAGGATGATTTCAGTATTCACATATTTTATATTGTGTAATATATTGACATCCAATCGTATTTTTCTTTAACAAAGGCAACCACACCATAAACATAAGTTTAATTGAAAGTTTTTGTTTGCAAATGAATACAAAATGCTATGTTGAGGCAAATACATTTTATCAGTGACAGGCAACTCTGGGCCATCTAGGCTAACTTGGACACACTTTTACTTATCAGTTGCAAATTAGAGCTGGAAAATGATCGATAGATTACACTATCGATATTTTCAGATACTATCGAGAGCCACCTAGTATATCGAAATTTTATAATGAACACACTTATGGACTGCGCTGTTCTTCACTTTTTTTGCACCTATCGAACACAATTAATATGAGTTTATTCACAAGAACATATCATTTTATGGTTTTATTTTCTGTAATTTTATCATAAATTATTTTAAAATAATTGAAATATACATACATACATATATATGAACATACATGCATACATATGTGTTATATTTTCTTCCCTTTTCTTGAGATTTAATATTTTTCCATTCTCAGAAAAATGCTGAATTCACAAACGGCATGCCCTGCAAAAATCGTTGGACCATGTACTCTATTTGTGGTAAATTGGAGTACTTACAAAAGTGTTCCTCTGTCATGCTGTAGCTGACCAACTCGTGTCTCTGCGCCAGCTTATTGTTTGTTATCCGATCACTGCTCGTGTTTTAACGAAACGGGATTGAAGTTGAGCATTTGAAAGCACATTTGCATGTCTGGCTGTAGCTGAACGTGTAGAGATGCTCGCTGTTAGTTCTTAGCTCCCAGCATGTTCGGGTTCGAATACCGTCAGAGGCAACATGTAATTTTTAATTTTTGTCTTGGTTTTTATTAATTTCGAAAAAGCATTTGAGAAGTGAAGAACAAAAGCGTGTACAAACGAAAAAATATAACAACAATGCCCATTGTTAATATGTTGGAGTAGTTTTGTGCTACTCTGATGTAATGCAGGGATGGAGTATATGGTCCTGCCCTAGGACATCGCAATGTTAATTGGACCATATTTTTTATATGAATTATGGTTAATTTTGGAGTACTCTTTGGTCCTTAGGGAGTACTCTTTACACGCATGCATGGAGTAGTCGCGATTTTTGCAGGGTGACCTTCAACGTAGCAGTTACAATTACTAATTTTCAATTATAAATTTTCTTGAGACAGTTGTAACTTTTTGTTTAGCAGTTGTTATCTTAAAGCACCAGTTTTTCCGTTTTGGTCATAGGACTGTCTCCTTCTAACATAAAATTTCATTTCAATTCAAGAAAATTAAATGACTGAATAATAAGAAACAAAAAGAAAACAGAAAAAAATGTCGATAGATGAGAAAAACTATCGATGGTTCATGATAGTTCCAGACTATCTGCACTATCGACAGTCCAATCGATAGTTTTTAGCTCTTTTGCAAATGTCATACGCAGTTTGTAAACAATTGGAGAAGAGGATTAAAATGTTTTTTACATAAATTAACCAAAATATACATGAAAACGGTAAAAAAAATCGGTAAAATGCAAGTTAGTTCACATGACTATTATGAAGGATGTGGTCGCGAGGGACAAATTCGTTGTATATTCCTCAGTGAGTTCCATGCGACAGCTGGTTGCAAAATCACCTGCCAGGTGAGTGCCAATAGAGGATTGCAAACAATTCTTCAGCTTATTTTGCCTTTGCAGGTGCCCGCGGACTATGTTAGCAAAGAAGTATTTGATGCGATTAATGTGTACATCATACCGAAACCCCACCTACAGCGCTGTATACTGACAGTGAATGCGATGGATGTAAAAATAGTGGGTTATCCAGTTGGTATTGAGAATCAGCAGAAGTATGCGCGTAATGCGTTCCTATTCAATTTATGCTTTGTATGCGACTCGTGGGCAAGATCAGTGCAGTATGAACCAGTGGTAAAAAAATTATCAGAGTATTTGGTAAGTGACGCGCTGGTGTGGGCAATCCATTTTATAACCCACATCTTTTCCTGCCGCAGATAATGATGGAAGAAGAGTCGTGCTTCTTGTCGAAAGATGGCGATAACAAGATGAAGTTGCAAAAAATATTTGAGACTGTAATAAAGGATTTGAATGAAAAGAAAGTAACTACAATTGTGGGTTAGTATGTGCAATACATACAATATGGGTTTTTTGAATGACTTTTAATGTACATTTAAATTTTATAGAAGGAGATACTACAATTTATTTAAAAATAGTAACACATAAGCCTGACCCACCTGTTGTAAAAGATCACATGGTGCCTTTGCTATTAGTGGACTTTAAAAATACACCTCTAGATAAATGGGATTTAACTACGCAACAGGTAACTTATATGTAATATAAAATTATTAATACCTATTTATGAACTTCTATTGTGGTTTAGATCTTCCCATACATTAATGGGATCAATCACATTGCACGAATAGCGGCCGAAGCAGATGTAGAAACTAATTTGGTAAAATCCTGCATTCAAAATTTGGCTTATTATGGTGTTGTACATCTACTGCCTATACTCAAGTATAGCAACGTCTATATGTGCACGCAACATTTGAAGAGTTTAATTAAAATTCCCTCATTGAGTCACGCCTGCCGCAAATATGTTGCACTAAATCCTGATAAGTCACATCCATCAATACAGAAAATCTTTCAATTTTACGCATCAATGACGCATGGCGTTACACTTCGTGCAATTTGTCAACGCTTGTGTCCACAAAATTACAACATCGATGAAAGAAAACTAGTCATATTTGGTTTGCAACATAAATTCATACGCTGCATTCACAAATATCCTGTGTTTACGGGTTCTGTGCCGTCGGGGCGTCAAAAAATGTATACAGGACTTTCGAGCTTTGATGAGATTTGCTGTAAAACAGGCCTATCGCCATTTAATATCGAGAAGGACATCGATAAGGATACTAACGTGACGGTAATATGGAAATAAGGTAGCACTTTGCCGTTTTTGGTTAAAACTTAGCACGTTAAATTAACTACTTACTGGAGAATACGCATTAATTCTACAATGTGCATTAAGTTTTGATTTAGAATTAAGACTATAAATACGTTGCGACATATTTTAAAGGTTAAAAATATTTTTGAATATTTCAAACAAGAAAATGAAAATCAATTAAATGGTAAGTTTTCTCTTCATTTTAATTATGACTTCACTAATTTTAATCACTTAACTAGTGTTTTGAAATTGCTGTTATATCTAAGATTTTATAAAAATAGAAAAAAAATCTATCGAGAAATCTTCTGGATTTAGATTTTGCGATTTTAAGAGTAATATTTTAAAGGAACAAGTTTTAGATTAGTGGGAAACGTGCCTATTTACTTGCTAGAACGCCATAACTGAAAAAATCACAAATTTCAGAAAATCTACTACGAAAAATATTTAGGTTTTCCACATTCTAAAAAAGTAAAATTTATTCTTTATATGCGAGTTATTGCGAAATTCTGAAAGCTATATTTTCCACCACGGAAATTTGGACATTCGTAGAGAGCCTTCACTGAATCCGTTCGTAATGAAGATTCGTACAGATACTCTACGACGAGTTTATGCGGTCGGAGCAAAATTTAAAATCGCTGAATCTTAAAAATAATGGAATACTCCAAATTTATTATATTATAAAGCAGAAGAATAAAAAAAAAAACATTTATAAACTGCGAATAGCCTTCAATAAAATCAAAAAATTATTGACATAAATACGAGCAGAAAGATGAACATCAAACGAAGGTTTAAAAGCAACAAAAGTTAGGTAATGGTCCGTAGCAAAACTTCGACTTCATGGTAATAAAGGTTCAGAAGAAAGGATTTCACATTTTTCAAAAAATTTTGAAGAATTCGAATGTCGCGTATACTGGCAGGTAGCGCATTAGATAATCAACGAGATACTATTGTATACAATCTGTAGGAATGAGTAATTCGCGAAGGCGGGACGGTAACAAGAGGGTATGAGTTTTTCCTCAGATCTGAGAGCAATATTTTCTAATATGATAAAAGCAATGTAATGCGGATTGAAGATATTGTTTTAAACGGGATATGTGGTTAAACCAATTTAGGTTTTGTTTAATGGATACACCGAGATATTGTGAAACTCATCAACTATCTCAATTACAAAACAATTATTACTGCAGGACGCAAGGGAATTGAAAGTACCAGATTTTACCTCAGGGCACAAGTGCCTGTGTAATGTAAGTCGATCGCCGTCCGAAAAATGAAAGGTAATTTTAATATCTGGTGATTTCTTTGCATTCAGGCTAAAATACATTAATTTGGTTTTACTGCTAACAACGAGCTTGGCTTAGCTACCAGTTCAAATGAATTTGTTGAACCATATGCAAGTGCAAGATCATCAGCAAATGCAGTGACCTATCCTATGAAAGGCAAGTCAGAAATTGAGTTTATGTAAACTAGGAATACGATCGGACCTAGCACGGAACCTTGTGAAACTCCGATTTTTATTGTATTATAATTGCTAAAATTGTCATGAACTTTACCCCTTTGCATTCTCCCGGTTAAATAAGATTCAAACCACTTATATATAAATCCACGAAAGCCGACAGAATATAATTTATTCAGTAAAATGGCATGATCCACCGTGTCAAATGCTTTCGTACTATCAACGAAAAGACCAGCACAACTATTTTTACTGTCCACAACCTGATAAATAAATGAGCAAAAATCTAGGAGAGCATCCTCGGTTGAACGGTTAGTCCTAAACCCGAACTGACTTGAGCTAAAGAAATTCTTACTATCAAGAAATAAAAAAATCCTGCTTTTGAGTGCCTTCTCAAAAACTTTTGAACTCGATGGTGGTAATGAAATTGGCCTATAGTTATTTCTATCTTTCTTAGTACCCTTTTTAAATAAGGGAATAATAGTTGCATATTTCAAATTATCTGGGAAAATTCCTGAGAAGACACTTTCATTGAATAAATGTGTCAGAATGTCTAACAAGTTAAGAGCAACTTTTTTAAGCAGTCTGTTCGAAACACCTCCCTGCCCACAAGAAGTAGAGTTGTTGAGCCTGAGATAGATTCAAATAAAAAGCTGTTTTTAGAATTAAATATATTGTTATCCGACATGACATACTTACACGGTGAAATTTTGCATTACCCGACCGATAAAAAAAAAATCATTGGATATACCAGCAACAGCAGAAAGATGGGAAATGATATTACCACAGTCGCTCAATGATAATGTGTGATCGTCAGTTTTACAGTTCTTCTTAACAATACTGTTGATGACATCCCATTCCTTCTTCGAATTGCCTCGAGAATCTTGAAACTTCTTTAAAAAAAAACTCAGAGCGTGTAGTCCCTACGCGCGGAAGAAGTGAAACTTAATAGAGGAAATGCCAGAAAGAAAGAAATGTGCGATATACATACACATGTACATATTTTCTAACACACAAAAAACATATTTTTTTAACGACCTTTAATTTTTTTTTTTATAACCAACTGAAACGTTTAATTATTATTTGTGGCTGAGAAAACATCCATATCTACAGTATTAACTAGTAGATTGTGGTAACTAAAGAAATATATGAAACGTTTTATTTCAATATTTTTAATATTTCTGGAAAAACCCGCATCAATGGTAGCCGCTCCTTAGGTTGTTGGGTCATTTCTACTATTAACCATTTCCAGTAAAAATTTTTCTTTAAATAATTTTGTCAGTTCATCAGATTTAGCCAGCGAAACGCTGACGTTGATCTCCTGCGAGAATTACAGGTAGATCATAACAGTCTACTTATCTTTATCTTCATCTTAATCATTTATCTTCTTCTTCATCTCCATCATCATCTTCATCTTCATCTTATCTTTATATTTGTTTTTGATTATATTCTTGTCTTTGCATTAGTCTTTTCCCGCCCAATTGGCGTTTAACGCAGCTATTCGTTTTATATACCCGTCATATGCTACCTGTACCGTGACGTTAAATATTTATCGCAAACATAACGGAGCTATAATAATAAGATTTGCTTCAATAATTTGAGTTTAACTTTTTAAACAGGTGGCCACCCTCTTCAGGCACCTCAAAAATATTTTAATTGTGTTTCTGTAAGCTCTTTCTGTACTGTATAGTATTTTAAGCGTAAGACTTTTGTATAATTTAACTAAATTTTACTTTTGAAACAGGTGGCAACCCTCCTACATTTAGCTAGAAAATACAACTTATTCAAAACCATTTCTTTTGATACCCATATTGGGATAATTCGTTTAACTTAATAAATAATTTGAATTTGATTTTCGTATATATGGCAACCCTTTAAAAGTCTAAAACCATACTGCACATCTGCAGGTCAAGCCCTTTCATATGACACCTCATTTTTGAAAATCGTATGAACGATACAGATTTTATGACTTGATGTTAAATATTTTACGCAACCCTCTGCGGCAGAGAAATTTTGAATTCGATTTTCTAACATGTGGCAACTCCTTTCATGGAACTAAAGCTTTCATGTGACACCTCATTTTTAAAAATCGAACGAACGATACAGAGTTTATGGCTTGGTGTTAAATATTTAACGCAACCATCTCCGAACTCGATTAAAAAGTTTCACTTCAAAAAATAAAAATCTCCCTGGGATTGGATATCTTTATTTAATTTTTTGCATAGGTTCTTATAACGAGAACGGAGTTTCTCGTTAGATGTGTGCTTGGGGCACTTACTACCTAATTTGTTTTTCAGTTTGATTTTTTAATGAGGGAAGAAGTACATAATCCACGGTTTAAGTTTATTTTTAAATTTGCGCGGGGCAAAGGTGTTGCTAGCAGACCGTATGTGAGAGTGCAGTGTAGAAATGAATAGGGAATATGCTTTTGAAATATCCCTCTCAGAGTGAACTTTTTCCCAATCCTCAAAAAGTAGCTTCTCATTTAATAAAGCATAGTTTATTTTAGTTATTTGAGATTTATTTCTCTCGATTTTCTTGACGTAACAGAAATTATCAAGTTTAATACCTGTCATAGTGTGATCAGTGACTTGAAGATCCAGATTTAAGCTAGTACAAGAAGAGATACTATTGAATCGGCAAAATGCATGATCCAGACAAGTGCCAGGAGAATTCCTAGTTGGTTCATTTAGATATGAAGTAAGCCCATGACTGGCTATCAGAGTCAGGTAACTTGCCAACACTGTGTTCGATTGTAAAATATCCAAATTTACGTCACCTAAAATAACCGCATTACTCGCTTTCTCATTGGCTGCATTTCTTTATTCATTCTGAACGTTACAATAAACTTTTTTGTTTACTTATTCTTTAGAACGTTCCTGATGATATGTAAACGTATATTTCAATGGCATTCTGTTTATTCTGGTTGTGAAATGGGTTTATCCGGAATGTATAAAGAAACGCAGCCATTGTATAAAAAGTCTGAGAGTTCCTCCCGAAAGAACTGACCAGTTTCTGAGTGACGTCTGTAGACACAGACTAAACTTATTTCCTTGCTATTTATTTTTAATAAAACTTTTTACACATCTGCGCTCAAGCAAAATTCAAAATGATGTTGGCAAGTTATGTTTATTTATTTATTTTTAATAATTTTCGTTTAAAATATGGTTCGATTTATAACAGAAACCACATAAACAAAAGTTTCAAAGACTGCACAAAGTTCAGAAAATTAATCAATTAATCAGAAGCATTTTATAAAAATTTAAAATTTTTATTCAGAGATTTTAGAATTTTTTTGAATATGCCATTTTGTAGCCCATTCCATTTAAGGACGAGTAGCTTCTCATTTATTAAAGCATAGTTTATTTTAGTTATTTGAGATTTATTTCTCTCGAAATGATCAAGTTTAATACCTGTCATAGTGTGATCAGTGATTTGAAGATCCAGATTTAAGCTAGTACAAGAAGAGATACTATTGAATCGGCAAAATGCATGATCCAGGCAAGTGCCAGGAGAATTCCTAGTTGGTTCATTTAGATATGAAGTAAACTCATGACTGGCTATCAGAGTCAGGTAATTTGCCAACACTGTGTTCGTTTGTAAAATATCCAAATTTACGTCACCTAAAATAACCGCATTACTCGCTTTCTCATTGCATAAAAAGTCTGAGAGTTCCTCCAGAAAGAACTGACCAGTTTCTGAGTGACGTCCGTAGACGCAGACTAAACTTATTTCCTTGCTATTTATTTTTAGCAAAACCTGCGCTCAACAATAGGTGCGTTCGTTTAAAATCTCCAGTAAAAAACTTACAACTGCCAAATTCCGGCGAAATGTCATCTGTTCTCTCACAAGAGAAAAATATCCAAAATAGTACGCGAACAGAAAATTTGCAGAAACTTGCAAGTTAGACGAACAGCTGATATAATTTTTGTTCACATTCAAAAGTGTAAAATTTAAAACGTACGAAAATTCGTCACAAAGTGGTATCCTGACACAGTTTATTGATTAAACAAATAACTACTTTCTTCTTACAAGTTAAGTTAGTCACATTTTGTAATTTTTAACTTCCAAACCATCAAATTCAAATTTGTGATTTGCGTAAATTCAAACCAGCTGTTTTTGATCAGCTGTTTTCCTGTTGGCAAATTGCTGTTGGTAAAAATTTTTCCAGCAGAAACCAGCAGCTTCCCCTCAAAATGAAATGTCACTTTGCTCTCTCAATTTCCCCTACTTTGCAAGTTTTTTGCGTACGCGAACGCAAAAACCTGAAAGTTTTGGTTAAACATGAACAATTAACAGCTACGCGAACGCAACTAATAGCAGCAAAATTTAAAATGATGTTGGCAAGTTATGTTTATTTATTTATTTTGAATAATTTTCATTTAAAATATGGTTCGATCCAAGGCACATTAAACAGGTAGTATCAGTAGAGCAAAAACAACATTTGCGTGTATTTTGTTGTTGCTTCTGGTATCGAAAGTGTCAAAAACTGTTCTGAATTTTTTCTTCTAAAAATAAAAATTGATGCAACTTTCTTTCCTAGTAAATTTGTTTGCATCTCGAAGCATTGATCCATCCTTTACAAGGGCCAGTAATCAGCGGTTGTGCTGCTGAGTTGGGCGAACGTTCCAAAAGCTGCTATTCACTCGCTTGTTTTGTATGGAAAAAGGTTTCACATGCAAATGGATTTTAACAATTCAGAATTTTTGTGAGAAAAAATTAAAAATATTTGACATTTTCGAGACCAAATAATTTGAAAATAAATCAAATCAGCTGCTCTACTGATACTACCTGTTCAATGTACCTTGGTTCGATCTGTAAGAGAAACCACATAAACAAATGTTTCAAAGATTGCACACAGTTCACAAAAATTAATCAAACTTCAGAAACATTTTATAAAAATTTAAAATTTTTATTCAGAGATTTTAGAATTTTTTTGAATATGCAATTTTGTAGCCCATTCAATTTAAGGACAATAAATTGCAAGTTTAAAGACAATAAAAATTATCGTTGATTTTTTTAATTTTGTTTAGTTGGGGGTTTTGCGCACTTTTTCTATAGAAAAATAGATTTTGTTCATATGCTGTATGGAAGAAAATGCTCAACACCTCGACAAGAAAAATCTAAAAAATCAACGGTAATTTTTAGTGACTTGAAACTTGTACAAAACCGCATATTCCAACATTTTCTAAAAACTCTGACCCGCTACCCGGGTCAAATCATTAACACTAATAGATATCGTTTCATTGCTCGATTTTTATTGATGCGAATACTGTGGATAGTATTTTCAAAACGTAAATTTATTAAATATAATATTGGCGTAAACGTTATTAATATCATTTCGCACACGGATAAAAATTAATCAAAAACTATGCAGCAAACAATTTCAAGACCGAAAGTAGTGAATATGGACATAAGTGTGTTTATTTTATTTTAAAATTTCATCGATTTTTTTTTGGCTTTAGATGAATGGCCGAAATGGGTAAATGATCGGATTTTCGACCACACAAGGAGACAGTGTGCGTATTATTTTAAATATCAATACTTGAATGCTGAAGTTGATCAGGGCCATCTACAAGGTATGTATTTGCGATTGCGTAGCAAACTTAGAAATTTTTATTCGTCGCACCACTAAAAATTTAATAGTATTAAAGTGTTGCATATTAGACAGATCTGGAAAGGATGTGGTAAGGTGTACTTGCGAGGAGAAGAAAGAGAAATAGCTTCGAAGTAGCTAAAACAACTCTGCGAAAATATATCGCACTGAATGAGCGCATAAGCTAATGAAGGAAGGAGAGAAAGGGCCAAGTACTATTCCGAATCAAGGAGCTTTGTGAAACACAAGATACAGACACGTTGCCAAAAGCCACCTTAATCCGGATCCAATAATATCACTCTACTTGTTAAAATCAACAGCACTAAAAGAAAGCATTTACAACATCTGGTATTCGCCGTTTTATGTACACTACTCCACAAAGCACCAGGATACTGTCTACCGAAACTTGTGTAAAAACACGACTTTTTTATAGCAATAGACGCGACTGGGTCATTGGCTTGGCCTTTTAATTTTCCGGACAAACAGAAGAGCAGCCTGATTGTTTTATATTTAATTGTTGATAGAATACCAGACTCAACTCAGGCTCAACTCCTATCGCTGAAATCAAAGATCATCCATCATTGGCTTCGGGAATGGATTACAAAGGGTGGTTTGGATTATCCACCGGAAGTAATTTACGATAGAGCCAGAGCACTTTTGGGTGCAGCCGTACAAACATTTTTATTCATCTTATGCTTCATATATTCATAGTTACTCATTCTTTTACCATAAACGAGTACGCTGAGTCAATGATCGATTCTAACAACATCCCCGTGTGCTATATTCGCTATGATGTAGCGCATTTTATTAAAAAATATGCTGCGCTTTGTTCAGAAAAAAGAAAGGAGATAAAACGGTTTTACCTCGCTTGCATCGGGACATTAATTCTATCTCGAAGTCTTGAAGATGCAAAGAAAATACTTCACGTCATGTTAACGGTTGCGACAAGTAATTACGGTGGGAATGAAGATCTTGATGGGTTTCACAAGCCGTCAGCTTGCAAAATTCAATTTGACCATTTAATGACACTTTTAAGTAAAAATACTAAAGGTGATGCTCTGGCTGATATAATCGAAAAATCAATTATGTTGATAAGCACATGGGAAGAGCCAGACGTCGTGGAAGCTGGTGGAAATTATTCATGGTACTCTTGGGCGCTTTCCATACAAAATGAGAGGTACACGCAGACATTAAGAAGTCCCCAGGAAAAGATCTCAATGCTTATATGCCAACATTTCCGATGTGGTCGTGCGTTTGCGCGATGATTTTGTATATGGACAAGTGCCGGCATCCAGCGCCCACGTCGAATCAGAAATAAAAAATATAAAGACGCTCCTCTTTCAACAAGAGAAATTGCCGGCCAGGGTTGACACTTTTGTCCAAATGTATAACGAATATGGAAGTGGCACAATGAAGCTGTACGACAGTGGGATGCAGACTCTGCAACAAGAAAAATCGGATATTTTGAACTTGACAATGCCGGCAGCGATAGTTTGGGAGGACGAAGAAATTATACAGGCATAATGAATGAGACAAACACCTAAGAATGTGTGGTAATCATTGCAATAACTAATATCAATATGTGTATATGGCGCTTTCTGCCGGAACATCACTCCCTAACCATGGCGCAATAATCAGATGAAGTAATA